TCACGCGGTAAAGCAGCACAGCCTTCCGCGTGTCAGCCACCCTTCCCAGTGTTGTGTCATCAGCAAACTGGCTGACGGTACACTCCATCCCTTCATCCAGGTCATTGATGAATATATTGAACAGGAGTGGGCCCAGTACTGACCCCTGAGGGACACCACTCGGTACTGACCTCCAACCAGACTCTGCACCACCAACCACAACCCTCTGAGCTCTGTCAGCCACTGTTCAAACCACCGCACTGTCCATTCATGTAACCCACGTGGTATGTCAGCACAGCAGAGAGAAAACAGCTGTATTACATGTTGCATGTAGAGATGCCTCTGTACAGCAGGACGCTGAGCTGTGATCTCAGGCAGCACACACACACACACACACACACACACACACACACACTGTACTACAACGGGGAGAAGCACATCCGGCTGTGCAACACCCGCACTGTCCATTCATGTAACCCACGTGGTATGTCAGCACAGCAGAGAGAAAACAGCTGTATTACATGTTGCATGTAGAGATGCCTCTGTACAGCAGGACGCTGAGCTGTGATCTCAGGCAGCACACACACACACACACACACACACACACACACACACTGTACTACAACGGGGAGAAGCACATCCGGCTGTGCAACACGGGCTGCAGCGATCTGGGTGGCTCTACGGGCATCTGAGCCAGTGCGTCCATAATCTAAAAGAAATCACATTTTAGGCCCAAGGAAGGTAATGAAACACCCAAAGTATCCGCAACTCTTACGCAGGCACGTCGCTTCCATCGGTGAAGTGAAACTCGTGAACAACGGAGCAGCAAAGCTTGCAGGTTAATTTTTTAAGCTAATCAATATTAGTCAGCAGTACAAGATGTTTTAGAGAAAGTCCACAAATAGCGTCGGCCAAGGAGCTAATGAAAAGCTGAAATTACCATTTTGGAAAATGCTCTCCATCTCCCAAACAGCTCATCTAACAAAGCGAACGAGCAGCACAGCGGCAGATTGAATTGAATGTTGACAAATGCACAATACGGCACGTCAGAAGGACCGCTAAACAATTCAAGGTACTTTATGGGTTGTGAGTTTATGGAAACCATTTAAGGAAAGCCAGTCTCAAGGAAAGAGGCTGCCGCGTGTTTACCAATGGCTGAAGGAGGCAGCAAAGCATTAGTGGGGGAAGCAATGGAATAGGAAATATTATTCGGTTGTATATATCAATATGACGCGAGTTGGAAAACCACATCCTATGCTGTGTGCGCTCTTTCTACGAGCAGAATAGAGAATTCAGTTCAAAGACAGATGACGCTGAAATAGAGATGCAACACAAGATAAAAAAGAACAGCCACAAAAGGCACTGCAGATGCCTGTATGATCCCTGTCCTTTCCTACGCAGCAACACTCAGATAAAAACCAAAAAACCCCAAAAGGCAACAGTTTCAACGCTGATTAAGAAAGATTGCATTATTGGACCAACCTACAACAGCCATAGACACGAAACCCCCATCTGCAGAGCTCGCTTGGGAGGGTTCCCACAACACCGTCACGGCAGATAGCTGCGGCAGAAACAAGCCTGTGTTGAGGGACGCCCCCAGCTCCCCAGGCCCCCCAAAATGAGATGCTGCCACCGACTCCGGGGTGGTTGTTGGTGAAAGCCAAGCCAGCTGCTCCAAGCCACATCCAGGATCCATCCCGGACAGGGCACACACGCACACACGCTGGCACCGACCAGCCCAGCTGTGCCTGCGGAGCAGCACAATCGCCTTTTTTCTCCCTTTTTTGCAAAGAGAAGGGGCAGGGAAAGCCAGAAGAGCTCTCCCGCAGTGTGTGCTGATTAAGCCAAGCACACAACCCCCATCCCCACGCGTCGGGTAGGTGGAAGCCAGCAACCGCAGAGACTTTTCTTCCTCCCACCGCATCTCCAGTTTCGGGTACGAACACTGCTGTGACAACAATTCCCAACAAAAAGCCCCCGCCAGCCCTGCGTAACAGCGGGGCCAGGCAGGGTTTGGTTAGAGGAGCTGAGAGCGGGCGGTTGGGGGAAGCGGTTACCGCGGCAGGACAGGCACGTGGCAGTGCGTGCCAGCAGCTGTCACCCGGGACAGTCCGCCTGTGCCCGCAGCGCACCCCTGGGTCAGCCTCCGCAGCCTATGGATCAGCCCCCGCAGCAAGAGCCGGCGGGAGCGTTTTTCGGGGAAGCAGGGCAATCCCTGCGCTTGCCCCCAGCTCCTTCCAGTGTAGTGATCAGATATTGGCGCAACCTCAACCTCCCACTGCTATCAAGGGAAAAAAAGGACACGAGGGAATGGCGTTAAGTTGCAGCAGGGGAGGTTTAGGTTAGACGTTAGGAAAAACTTCTACACTGAGCGGGTTATCAAAGAGTGGCACAGGCTGCCCAGGGAAGGGGTTGAATCGCCATCCGTGGGTGTATTTGAAAGCCGTCTAGATGTGGTGCTCAGGGACATGGTTTAGAAGTGGGCCTGGAAGAGTTAGATAATGGTTGGACTTGATCATCTTAAAGGTCTTTTCCAGCCATAACGATTCTGGGATTCTAAAGCAACAGACTTTTTCTTCTGCTTTGTAAGTATTTCAACATCGGGGGGAAAAAAAAACAAACCAGGAATCACTGTCGTGCCGCAAATCATTTTCGTTTGTGTTGTACTCATAACTTCTTCGTATTCCCCCATTCAAAACAAGCAGACTGCTGCTCTGAGTGAAAGATGGAACACCTTTGGGAAAACCTGCCGGCTGATGGCTAGACACTTCTCAACAGACGTGAAATACCTTGGATAATAGCTTTTATGGTTTCAAAGGAAATGTGCTGTAAAACTGCCTGACGGCAGGAGTTAGGAGTTCCTGACACACTAACACGAGGGGTCATGATTCACCCGGTGTCACGTGGCGAACGGGACATAAAACCCCATCCGTATGTTAAAAGCCCATATTAGGCATAGGAAGGCATTAGCGCTCCGCTGAAACGGCTGCGCTGTACGTCCTCTGTAACTGTCAGATAGTCCTACATTAACAGATGACTACAAGTTTCTAAAGAGTATGTGAGCATATCTAATGAAATATGCAAGCTGAAAGTATTAGTAGAGTACGCAGCCGGGGGAAAAAAAAGAAAAAGCTATATTCTTGTCAAAATGACTAACTGTACAGTTCTGCTCATATTTATTTTCAAACACGTGCTTAATCTTTTACATTTTTAAGGACCTTACTTCTACTAAAAGGAGCCATTTAGTTTTCTTCTATATTTTGAAATGGGCTCAGTGCAGAAAACCGTACACCAAGTTTGCATAAAACATGTGAATTAAAGGAAAAAAAAGCATTGTAAACCTTCAGCCCAAGATCCCCCGAGATCTGTAACACAAACCGCTCCTTGCTTCATTTACCCACGGCAGCAGCGCACCTGATTCTGCCAGAAATATGGTTGTCAAAATGCTGCAGCAAGGAGACCCATTTTAAAAAGCACTTTTCGACTTTACCCCCCT